TCCCGTCTAATGGAAGCAGAGGCTTCTCTGAACATTTTCAATGAAAGCAAATGCGTTATGATGCTTAGAAGCAAAATTCAAATAAGGGATTTGAAATACGGCCTTTAGTTCAGTTTAGATTCGGGTTTTTCTAAATTTTCATACCTGCGCAGGGAGAATCTGGTGGGGAGAGAAGCGTAGTGGACGAACCAGCACGGACAGCCGAATAAACGACAGAAAGAACAGTTGTGAGTAAGCCAATGGTCATTGTGCCTGTTGAAACAGCTTTGGAGTGGTTGTGGAGACCATTGCAGTCTTCTTCTCGGGGTTCACTTGCAAGTCCACTGTAACAGAGGTACATGCAGTAGAAAGATATAACTGATGCAGGTAGAATGCTTCCACCGACCTGCAGAAAAACAGTTTAAGTTGACTTCAGTGAGCCTGAAGCTGAGAATCAACTAAGATCTTCAGATAAGAGAGATAAAAGGTTTAAATTAAAACTTACAGCGGGATGCAAAACTACAACAGCAAAGACAAACACAAATATCAAAGTCATGACAATGAAGAAGGTGTTGAGTCCACAATCATGTCCAGAGGGAGTAAACCAGTGGAAGAGAAGCCCAGAGAAGACGAATGTTGCCAAGTAACATACAAGAGAGACAACGAGCAACGCAGCATACCTATATATATAAAGTCCAGCACTTAGAATACCAGTGGGATAATGAAGTCACATATGATTGCAGATATATTTACTAACCAGAACTGCTCGTCGTAGCCAACCCATGTGTCATTCCATCCATGAACGAAATCCAAAAGAAGGACAACTTGAACAAGTAGAAAAAAGCCAGCACCAAACTTTGACATTGACTCTGCAAGATGTTAAGTTGATTCTCGTTAGCTCTAACTCAATCTATTCACTAATCACTTCGCAACGGTAAAATGACACTTACCATAGAAACTGATGATTTCATTTGGAACGAAGAACATTAAGATGACCAAAATGCACCAACAGATTACTTTCATCATCCAACCGCCATGGTGTATACTATCACGAGGGTCTTTCTGATTTTTCACGCCAATCATCATAACCGATAGAATTGAGAAAAACAAGAAATTCCCTAAGCTGACACGCAACACAGCATCGGTCTCAAACCATTCACGATCAGGTGTCTTGTGAAAATGGTTAATCCCTGCACAATTCCAATTACCAGCTCCATAAGCTAAAATATTCTCACTGGAAAAAGACGGTTTAAAAAGAATATGGAGACAACTTACAAGGGAGCTTCTCCATGAGAGGAGCAGCAACCTCACGGAGAATCCATGAAACGATTAAGGAAAGTGCAAAGAGACCACAGTAAGCAATTCTTGCAGAACGTCTGCTGATCCCAGAAACCACTGTACGGCAAGCATCGCATGCACAAGCAGCACAACACGATGCAAGACAAGAAGCTGCCCACATCTTTTCTTTTTTTTTTTTCTCCTCGAAGATCAAAGGTTGGATTCAATATTCAGCTGCTAAATATGAAAGAAAACGCAAACACGTATCAATCAAACAACCTTCTTCTCATCTAATCATTACCAAGTTATCACAGGGGAAAAAACCCTAATTTCGGAATAACAGATACGGCTTTTGTTACCCCGAAACGAAAATTAATAAATTTTCTCAGAAATTGACAACCCTTTAGGAATCAACCCTATGAGAATTGGAATTGGATCAAACAAGCTGATTTTTTCCCCAAAATATTTGAGACGGAATCGAAATTTTAACCCAAAAAGCTAAGTTTAGTTATCGGATTTGAGCTCTGCAAGAAAAGAAAGAAAACCCAGAATCGCTTCAGGAAAAGAATATCAAAAAACCTTGACGATCGATCAGAAGCTTACCTTCTCTTGAAAAGTAGGACAAGTCGGTGTTTCCTTGTTCTTGCTGCTTATTTCGGACTTTTGATTTGACCAACGAACGGAATCGGTAATTTTATCGCCAAAATAATGCACCCTTCATATTAAGGCCACTAATGGCCCAATAAAAGCCCAACTACTCAATTAACTTACCAAAAAATAGTTGATACTTCTAGACTTCTAGTCTCAGAATGGGTTCTTCGTATAAGGAATATGTTTCGATCTCTTCTCATGGATTTTTGGAATGCAGCATTCATGTATCTCTGTGAATTTGTTATCTCAACTCTTAAAAATCGGGTTGTGTTATCTCAACTCATGGATTTTTGGAATGCAGCATTCATGTAATTTTTTCCACATGTATCTACAAATCAATAAAGGATTAACTTGAATTTTTTCACATTATGCCATAACTTGAATTTAAATCCGATGATTAAACACCTTCTGGATGGTGCAGAGTCAGATCCTATCCTATGTACTAAATGCCATCTAGAAACATGCCTATCATTTTAAAACATCAAGTAGTGGAGGAAGCTAAACACGCATCATCATATTTTATCCTTTCTCTCTCTTTTTTTCTTTCTTTTTTTATCTTTAAAACTTTTTCGTATATAAAATCCCTAAATTCCCCGTTTGTATGTAACGGACTTAATAAACCGCGTACGGCGGCAAATCGGCCTCGCTCGAGCCCTCAATCAAACGGAGGAGATCGGAAACGCTGCCGGAGAATCTACTTGAGAGCGGCGGAGAAAACTTTGGGGTTGTCAGATTTGCGTCTCGACGGAGCTGGATTCAGCTTTTCCTCTTCTCCAGATCTACCGATTCTCACCGGTTCGTTTTCTATAAATCTTCACCTGCTTCGGATCTAAATCCTCAATGCTTTGATTATGTATCATTTGATTGATCGACCATTTCGTCGAATCTCTCTTAATCCAATGTTCATCGACGACGGATTAGTGGTTGATGATTGGCCTAATTAGAAAGATCCAATGTCGTTTCCAAATTGGTTAAATAGATCGAAATGTTGTTCTGTGTCTCTCGCTTGCTTCCATGATTTGCTTAAATTCTCTTTGATATTAATGAAGTTGTTGGTAGCTGTATAAATGGCTTATGATGGAAAAAAAAAAAAAATTCCCAAATTCCTCTCTGTAGCCTGTTTTGGTTTTTGTGCGATTGTGGTAAAGGAATGACACTGTGTGTCAATATTTTCAGGTTGGTATAACGCAGTCATGGTTCTTGATGGGATTGTATCTTCACCATTAAGGAGACAAGCTCTAAAGAAGCAATGGGAAGAGTTAGGTAGCTGCTCGACGGTTATTCAGAGGCATCGATATCTCTTAACCGCATTGGCTCTTTTGGCATTCCTCTGCACTGTTTATCTATACTTTGCAGTCACTTTAGGCGATAGGCATTCGTCGTGCTATGGTTTGGCCGGGAAAGACAAGGCAATGTGTCAATTAAGAGTTGTCCAGGTTATCTCCAAAGGGAAACTGAAATTCTTCTAAAGTGTCATTGGCCGAAAGCTTTAAAAAACCGCATTATTGTTCTTGAACTACAACATTCTTTTTTTTTTTTTATTGATTCTATAATGCCATTTGTGTGTATTATTACAAGGTGAAAAACCAGTGATTTATAATCGAAAGAGAAAAACATTTTTTTATGAGATGAGAGTATACATTTGTAGTGTTTTGAGTTGATCAATCACCATGTTCTTAGAGGAACCAGAGGCTCAACATCGGATGGGTTAGTTAACATGGAGGCTGGAGCAGTCGTACCAACATCCCAGGACTCATCAATGTTGAATCCCATGACTTGATCCTCTTCGTCATCATCGTCCTCGATATGGATCTCAGAATCATAAGGTGACGAACGAATCCTCTCCAGCTCAATTGAAACCTCTCTCATGTTTGGCCTCTTCTTCCCTTTTCGGTTTAAACATCTTCTAGTGAGTTTTGCCACTGCCATCACTTGGTCCATGTTGCATTTATCTTTGATCCGTTTATCAACGATGTCAAGAACTCTGTTCTCTTTCACAGCCTCGACAAAATGAGCTGCAAAGCCCCTGGTTTCTTCAGGCTGGACTCGGGAGAACGGTTTTTCTCCGGTTAAGAGCTCCACGAGGACAACTCCAAAACTGTACACATCACTTTTGTCCGTAAACTTGCTTGATTGAAAGTACTCTGGATCCACATACCCAAAAGTACCTGCAACTTGAGTTGTCAAGTGAGTTTGATCTATGGTTACTGATCTTGAAGTTCCGAAATCTGACACCTTAACTCGGTATTTCTCATCCAATAGTATATTAGTAGTCTTGATATCTCTGTGGTATATTGGGAAAGATGCAGCAGAGTGCAAATAAGACAACGCTCCAGCAATATCTATGGCAATGTGTAGACGCACTTCCCAAGTCATCGTGAAATCATCAGATTCATCATGAAGACGCTTGCATAAGTCTCCATTTGGAACAAACTCATAAACCAAGATTGGAACTTCTGTCTCTAGACAGCATCCCAAGAGTTTAACAATGTTTCTGTGGTTGATTTGCGCAAGAACAACAACTTCATTGATGAACTCTTCTACCCTGTCTTCATCCATGGCTTTCGACCTTTTCACCGCGACAATTCTACCATCAACGAGCATTCCCTTGTAAACTGTGCCTTGACCTCCTTTCCCAAGAACCCTATTCTTGTTGAAGTTATCAGTAGCTTTCTGCAATTCATTTGAGCTAAATATCCTCGACATCTCTACATTGCCTTCGTTTCTAGCTAACTGTTGTTTCAACAACATACCTCCGTTGCGTCTGAAGAACTTTCTCATTCGGATGATCCTCCTCCGCTTCTTAACGAACTTGTACAACCCAAAAATTCCAAAGGCGAAAAGCAACAATGCCGAACCTATAAGAACACCTGCACCAACAAAATACTAAAATGTAAAGAACAGAACAGTAATATTTTCCACACGGCGCTCGATATAAACTCAAATCGACTATTACCTTGAACCACCGGTTTGAGCTGCCCTGGTTTCTTTGGCTCACACCTAAAGTCACCGGGTCTATTCACACAAGTTTGGCCTATACACCTTTTGCGTCCTTCTTCTAGTTTACATTCATCAATGTCTACACATTTGATTCATATACTTAATGATATATGACTTGATTATTGGCTACAGAAAGATAAAACCAATCTCTTACCTACACAACCACCCGGAAGAAACGGATTCCCTGTGTAACCCATAGAGTTACAATAACAATTCCTATAGCTGAATCCAGAGAAGTATCCGTATGAGCAAAGGCAACTCGTCTCAATCGAGTACCCGCCATTTTGTGTTGTATCTGACACATTTTTACAACCTACAGGATTTAAAACACGAGAATCCGAAGTATCAAAGTACCATCCTAACTCAACCACTGCATATCCATCAGCATGAAACTGTTCTGGCTCTGTAACATTCAAACTCGAATACTTCTCGCTCGTCAAAAACGCAACTCTGCATCCTCCTTCTGTTGTGTTCTTACCTTCAGGGATCTCTAAACGGACTCCGATTACTTGCGGCTTCTCTTCTGGTATCCTCGTTTGACAACATTTATGTCCATTGCAAATATTGTTTCTTACTTCTTGGCTCGTACTGTTTCTCTTGTCACAACTCGATTCGCAACCGATGATCTGCGATTCGACATCCGTCAAAATGGCCTTGGCGTTGCAACCAACAGCCAAAAGTTGGTTCTTGTCCGTGAGGAAATAGGGGCTTCCTTGACCGGAAACGTTTAAAGGCGGCGGTATGAGCGGCTGAGATGCTCCGGTAGAACAACCGGAGGAAGTTACAGAACCTTTGATGTGAACAACTCCGTAGGCATAGAACTCGTTATCGTTTGGAAGAGAGATGTTCATCAGTTCTCTGTTGATCCTTGAGAGAAACGGAACAGAGGTTGTGCTGTTACAGACAACCTCGTACCAAGGGTTTAGATAACAATCTTTCCCACCGATACCGAACGGGAAAGGAATCGATATTCCTCCGCAGACTCTGTTACAAAGATCTGGAGGTTTTCTTGCTGATGAGACGCCATTGATGAACAGAGATAGGACAGAGATCACTATTGGAACATATACGAGGTTGTGAGTCTCTGTTTTCATGCTCCCGTTCTGGTTCTCTCAACTCGATTCAAGACTCGCATAGTTGGACGAAAATTTCAGATGAGACTAGCTTAGAAGTTGCGAAAGAGAAAGCCGACCAAAATAAAGTTGCAAAAACAAAGTTGACCAAAATAGTATGAGCTTAGAAGTCAACGGATTCATGATTCGGATATAGATCGACCAATGAGTTAAAGCCATGTGGCAGAAGCAATTTACAGACTTTTGATGTTTTGTAGTGCCACGAAAAGTTCAGAGAAATTGAAGTTTAGACTTTAAGATGGAGTGGAGAGGCGAGTTGCGAAAGAGAAAGCCGACCAAACCAAAGTCAAACAAAAAAAGTCAACGGATGGACCAGTCCAAGTGGAATTTATATCCGAGTGGTCGGTCCACTAGCGAAGTCAAATGATGCAATAAATATGAACTATGAACAAAAGATTAATGTGACGTGGCTAACCGATAGATGACATGGATATTTGTTGGCCCCATTTTGGGAAGATTAAAAACATTGGACCCAAAACAGAGCTTAAATTAGGCCCACAAAAGAAACAATGGTGGAGCCGCGGAGGAGAGAGTAACTAGACCACCGTCGAACCGAATCTCGCCGTAGACGGCGGAGGAGATTGAAGATGCTTCCGAATTCTATACAAATCTTAAACCTTTACGATTCCGTCGAAAACGAGTGTTTTCCTTTGTCTCCAATGAGTTCGATTCCTCACCATACCCCCCCCCCCCCCAAATTCCAACTTTCAAGGTTCGAATCTCATGCAACTCAATTTTAGTTTAGCGTTGTGATAAAAAAAAGTTGAGAGATTGTCATTGTGGCAAGCATTATACACTAATAAGCACGCATTATAAGTTATATAGAACGCACTGAATCTACCTCTTTCATGCGGTTAAAGAACGATCTTTTATGTTGATTTCCATGAGTTGATCATCATCTTTATCGTTTTTTTCCACATGGACCTTTAAATTCTCTAGTGATGATGATCGGATCTTCTCAAGCTCAATTGAAACCTCTTTCATGTTTGGTCGCTTCTTCCCTTTCCGGTTAAGACATCTCCGAGCGAGTTTTGCTACCGCAATTACTTTGTCAAGCTTTTCGTGGTCTGTGATCTCAACTGAGATCCGAATGTCAATGATTTCAAGCACTCTGTTTTCTTTCATGGCTTCGAGGAAATGAGTTGCTAAGCCTTTCCCTTCTGCAGACCGGACACGAGACAGCGGCTTCTCTCCTGTTATGAGCTCCACCAAGACAACCCCGAAACTGTAAACATCACTCTTGTCAGTGTATTGGCTTGACAAGAAGTACTCTGGATCCATGTACCCGAAAGTGCCAGCAACTAATGTCGTCAAGTGAGTTTGATCAATGGTTACCGATCTTGAAGTTCCGAAATCAGATACTTTGGCTCGGTATTTCTCGTCTAACAGTATATTGGTAGTCTTGATATCTCTGTGGTATATTGGAAACGATGCAGCTGAGTGCATGTATGAAAGAGCTCCGGCGATCTCTATGGCTATGCGAAGACGCATTTCCCAAGTCATTTTGTAATCATCTGATTCGTCCTGAAGACGCTTGAATAGATCTCCATTGGGAATATATTCGTAAACCAGGACTGGAACTTCTGTCTCCAAGCAACATCCCAAGAGTTTCACGATGTTCCTATGGTTAATCTGTGAGAGAAGGACAACCTCATTGATGAACTCTTCTAGTTTGTCTTCATCCACAACTTTGGATCTTTTGACCGCAACTATCTTTCCATCCACTAGCATTCCTTTGTAAACGGTACCTTGACCGCCTTGCCCAAGCACTCTATCTACACTGAAGTTATCGGTAGCTTTCTTCAACTCGTTTGAGCTAAATATCCTCGACATCTCTACATTGCCGTATTTTGTAGTTAGCTCTTGTTTCAACAATAAACCTCCATTACGTTTGAAGAAGTTCCTGTTACGGATAGTCCTCCTTCGCTTTCTCATAAGTATGAACAACGAGAATATCCCAACAACCAAAAACAACAGTCCCAACACACCTATTAAAACCCCTGCAGCAACAAAGGATAACATAAAGGTACGTTGATTCTCAGTTCGAGCTTTTTTTCTAGTAGACACAAGGTGCTATCTTGACTAACCTAGAATGACAGGGAGTTTGTCAGGCTTGGCTATCGTTGGATTGCATCTGTACATTCCAACCAGGTTCTCACAAGTGCCTTCTCCACACTTGTTGGGTACTTTGCATTCATCAATGTCTACAAATTTGAATCATAACTATTGAGTGGCTGATTGATAGTCAATATTACATAAAGAAAAAATGCACTTACCTATGCATCCGCCTCGAATGTATGGGTTTCCTGTGAAGCCGTTGCCGCAATAGCAGTTCCTATAATTGATTCCGGAAAAGTGTCCGTAACGGCAAAGGCAATTGTCGCCCGAGAAGTAAGACCCATTAGAATGGGTCAAATTTATGCAACCCAAGGGGTTCCTAAAACGAGAATCTGAAGTATCAAAGTACCACCCAAGCTCTACCACCGCGTAACCATCAGCATGGAACTGTTCTGGTTCAGTAACATTTGACAACAAATATCTCTTGTTTGTCAAAAACGCAACTTTGCACCCTTCTCCTCCTGTAACATTTTTGCTCTCTACGTTGACACTTATTGCTTGGGGACGATCCACCGGTATCCGCGCTTGGCAGCATTTGTAACCATTGCAAATTGAGCTTGTCACATCCTCGCCACTCTTGCTTTCTTCACAATTTGATTCACAACCCAAGATTTCCGATTCGATATCCGTCATCAATGCCTTGGTACCGCAACCAATCGCCATGAGGCGGTTCTCGTCTGTTATAAAATATGGACTGCCGCTGCTTGTGACATTCAAATCTGGTAGCGACTTTTTGAGTTCTTGACTACTATTACTAGAACAACCCAAAGAAGTCACAGGACCTCTGATTTGAACCAGTCCGTATGGGTTGAAAACTGGAAGAGAGATGTTCACCACTTCCATGTTGATCCTAGAGAGGAACGGAGCATTTCTATCGGATCCGGAGGTGCTGTTGCAGACAACCTCGTACCAGCTGTTGAGATAGCAATCCTTCCCGCCAATTCCAAAAGGGAAAGGGATCGAGATTCCTCCGCAAGTTCTGGTACAAGTAGTTGAAGAATTACTATTTGGAGGTGTTGCTGCTGATGAGCCATTCATGAGCAGAGTTAGGACAGACGCTATAAGACATAGGAATTTGTAAGTCTTTGTCTTCATAATTCTGTTTTTCTTGATCTGATCAATCTGCTCTTTTAGGAGAAAAGTTAACTACTTGTCTGATCTGATGAAAAGGTCAAGAAGAAGTTTATAAAGAAGCGTGAAGCAAGTTACAAAGCATTAAAAAAGTATGGAAATTCTATTTTAAATTAATGTTTGAATTTGGATTATAAAAATCCAATCTTTTTGCAGACCAATGTACTAAAACACTTTTGACCATGAAAGTACTCCAGAATCATCCTATGTTTTCTATGGTTTCATCATCGTTTTTGAGATGAATCTCTAAATCTTCAGGTGATGATAAGATCTTCTCCAGTTCAAATGAAACCTCTCTCATGTTTGGCCGCTTCCTCCCTTTCCGGCTTAGACACCTTCGAGCGAGTTTTGCCACCGCCATCACTTGGTACAGCTTGCTTTCTTCTTTGATTCGATCATCAATTATGTCAATCACTCTGTTTTCTTTCATGGCCTCGATGAAATGAGCAGCCAAGCCTCTGGATTCTTCAGACCGGACGCAGGACAACGGTTTTTCTCCGGTTATGAGCTCCACCAAGACAACCCCGTAACTGTAGACATCGCTCTTATCAGTATATTGGCTTGATAGGAAGTACTCTGGATCCATATACCCAAAAGTTCCTGCAACCAATGTCGTCAAATGAGTTTGATCAATGGTTATCGATCTTGAAGTACCGAAATCAGATACTTTAGCTCGGTATTTCTCGTCCAATAGTATGTTGGTAGTTTTGATATCTCTGTGGTATATTGGAAACGATGCAGCTGAGTGCATATATGAAAGAGCTCCTGCGATCTCTATGGCTATACGAAGACGCACTTCCCAAGTCATTTTGTAATCATCGGATTCGTCATGAAGACGCTTGAACAGATCTCCATTGGGAATATACTCGTAAACCAAGACTGGAACTTCTGACTCCAAGCAACATCCCAAGAGCTTCACAATGTTCCTGTGGTTAATCTGTGAGAGAAGTACGACTTCATTGATGAACTCTTCCACCTTGTCTTTATCCAAAACTTTGGATTTTTTAACCGCGACAATTTGTCCATCCACCAACATTCCCTTGTACACAGTTCCTTGACCGCCTTGCCCAAGTACCCTGTTCATGCTGAAGTGATCAGTAGCTTTCTGTAGCTCTTTTGAGCTGAATATCCTTGACATTTCTACATTGCCGTCCTTTGTTGTCAGCCGTTGTTCCAACAGCAAGCCTCCGTTGTGTTTGAAGAAGTTCTTGTTGTGAATGATGTTCCTTCGTTTCTCAAAGAGTTTGTACAACTCCAAGATTCCAATGAGAGAAAGCAACACTCCCAAACCTATAAGAATACCTGCGCCAACAAAGAAAAACCATCAAGTAAACTACTTGTCTCTTCTCTGCCTTGTATTCTCGTAGATAGCTACTCTGGCTCACCTTGAAACACGGGGGGTATGACTGCTTTGGATGGCTTTGGTAT